TTGTTGCATTCACCGCAGTATTCGGCTTGGAGTACACGCGTCTGCGGACCGCGCAAAATACTTTTGACTGTTATTGACAAAAGATCCGAAAGAACCGTATGCCTTGAGCATGTATCGGTGCATACCTTTGTGTCCTTGAGGTCGTAAAAAGATACAGGAAACATGAAGTAAAGCAAAATAAAAACAGACCACTAGATAAAACTAAGTCACCATTTACCTTACTAGAAAATAGTGTTTTATCGTTTAACTAACAAAACGGTGGCGGGTGTTTCGAGTCTCTCTCTAGTTTATCTTTTCGGCTTCAGGGATGGCTGGAGAAGCTGATTTGAATGTTGATGAGATTATTTCTATGCTTCTTGAGGGTACTTGAGGTCTTGTTCCTTTTTATATGATTTAGTGCGAGGCTCTCGAGTTGGAACCACTGTTAACCTGAAGGAAGAAGATATCAAGGCGCTCTGCGTAAAATCTCGGGAGATTTTCCTTTCGCAACCTATCCTCCTTGAATTGGAAGCTCCTTTAAAAATATGCGGTTAGTCCTATATTCGATTCAAAATGAGTGCTTTGCAATTTATAATCAGTACATCCAAAGGTGTCCAAGTGCATTAATGTGTGATATAACTTCACCCCAGCGACAAATCAAGCGACACAATTACGAACTAATATGTGTATGCTTTTTAGAGTAACTGCGTTAATTTTTCTTGTGCCTTCAAGTAAAACGCTGCTTCACCCAAACTCTTGCTGTCAGTTCATCTTCCTGGCAAGTGACTACTGTATAAACCACTGGAAGCCTTTGGCGGCGAGGTAGAACCGCGATCTGGAGATTGAAGGAGAGTTTCAAACAAGAGGTTAAAAACACACCAAATGTTATCACCTCAGTAAAATCGAAGATTTGAACACTTGTGGGCTGCGACTTTTTTTTACTACAATTGATCGGTATTTAACCGACCGACGTCATTTTACTCAAATGCGAGAGCGAGCATTTTGCAGTTGTCTTGGGTCACGTGTTGTGCGTGCAATTGATCGACTAAGTAGAATTTGTAGTCTTCTGCGTCTACTTCGTAAGTGACCATTCAAGCGTACGGTTACGAATATGCTTATGTGCATATGCGTACGTCTGGACAAGAGCATGATAATTTTACACACAGCTCCCGAGCTCCTATGCTCGTCCATCAAGTGGTGGAATGTATAAACGCGTGATTTTCCATGTCCTATATCAGAGCATTTCATGGACCCACACCGAGGCAAACGCTCACTTGGAAAAGAAACGTGACGATTCCCCTTCTCGCAATCAAGCCGACTTTTTGATGCCGACATCCTGTAGCTGACTTCTTGAATTATATGTAGTAAACTTCCTTCTGTTTTGCCGTAGGCGACATTCACGGCCAGTACACTGACCTTATGCGTCTCTTCGAGTATGGCGGCTTTCCTCCGGAATCAAACTATCTCTTCCTTGGGGATTACGTCGATCGAGGAAAACAGAGCTTAGAGACAATTTGTCTTCTTTTGGCCTATAAAATCAAGCATCCAGAAAACTTCTTCCTGTTACGTGGCAATCACGAATGTGCCTCGATCAACCGGATTTATGGATTTTATGACGAATGTAAGTTTCCTCGTTATCACTATTCTATTTCGTCTATGTCTTAAATGTTGCTTTCCTTAAAAGCCTTTAGACATTTCCTGCGCGTATAGGGGTAGGTTAAAGACTAGACGCCAGTTCGGTCTATTGAACTCCAAAGTTAACCCTGACTGTAAAACTAATCAGTAGTCCTTTTCTTATTGATTTAAACCCTGCCTTGATCTCATCATGGTTGCGTTACGCATTTGTGAGACCTCTAACCAAGTTTATGTAGCCACTTTTTGTCTCCTTTGATTTATTTTCTTAGGCAAGAGACGCTACAATGTTAAACTCTGGAAAACCTTCACGGACTGTTTCAACTGTTTGCCGGTTGCTGCCATTGTTGATGAGAAAATATTCTGCTGTCATGGTGGTACGTTTACACATTATTATTGCTTAAATCTTTTGTTTTGGCTGACCGGCCGAGTTTGACGCAAGTATGCGTATTTACCATTTATCAATACGTATGATACGAGTCTCGATTGATAGTTAGTTCAATGTCACTCCTGTACTCTGCAGCCACTCCTGTTTTTTTTTCTGGGACCTAAATTAACTGAATTGATCCTGGATGGCTTTTGCTATCGGTTTATTTCCGAAATAGTAATCCAGTGTCTAATTTCTGCTCCATCTATTTGCAATCTATATTTCAAGGCCACTTGGTATTCCAAGTTTTTCATGTGACCCTATGGTTGTTGATCCGGTCATCTGATGCTGAGTGACAATCCACCGCTTTCTTTCAATAGGATTTATTCTGCATATTTTAAGACAGTCTTTGTCTCGCGAGGACAATACTGTCGGTCTTGACCCTTCCTAAACTCAAGCTTCTTGGTGTTAGGCCATGTATCACGTGGACAACGGGCTTCAAATAGGTCACACCAGCCATGTGACAAAGTTACGTTGAAAAGAGACAGTCCCACCAGTCTCTCCGGTCTCTTTGAAGATTACCATTCACGTTCCCTCATAAGCGGCATTAGTCACACTGACTAGTTTCGACTTGCGCGTCATCAACGAAGCTACGCTCGTCTTTCAATCCGTTTTTGACCAGCGAAGCTCTGCCTCCAACTGTTTTTATTAGTGCCTTGCCGACAAGTTAGAGTGAGAGGACACGTATCTAGAGAAGGTTAACCAATTTCTTGTTCATGCTTCTGCTATTGGACTTCCAAAGTGATTAACAGTCATACTTTCTAAATGGATTCGGAAATTAAATAATTTATCCAGTTGTAAGCAAAATAAAATGGTGTCTCGGATACCGACGAATGGTATTGTATTGTGCGCCTCGTACGTATAGTCTTCTGTTCCTTCCATCCTATTTATTTATCCATTGGCTCAACTTTCTTTTCTCCGACACCCTTTTAGGCTTATCTCCTGACCTCCAAACAATGGAACAGATTCGTCGAATCTTCCGCCCAACCGATGTCCCTGATACCGGTATGTACTGGCTCAAAACCTC